ATAAAAGAGTTTCCTTGTCTGATGCAAAATAAATTTGGGGATGATGCAATGTTCAGAACTGGTATTTGTTTAGATACTCACTCTGAGTCTGTCTCAATCCCTGCTGCCCATCCAATTTCTAGACCCTCCCAGAAACTTCTAGACCCTTCTAGACCATTCTTGCTGTGTTGTTTCCAAATATACTGCTTTCTGTTACAGTACATACTATGCAATTAAAAATCTAGCTGCTTCTATAAAATCACTTAACTAAGTGGTTCCCATATTCCATTAGAGGAAATAAATTCAAGTTCTTCCAGATGATAGGAAATAATTACAAAAAAGTGCAAGTACTTTTGGAGTGCCATATTTATTCTTCATCACTGTTGTCAAAAGGTTGATTTAGATATTTACTGTAAGCATGGCACTGTTCTCAGCGTTTCACATTATTTTCCCTGAGCCTACTCTGTATAAGTCATACTTCTCTATTTTGCTTACTAATATTTCCTTACTAGTATTTTGTCGTTAGAATAAAGTCAGGGCTTTGTAGATTTGGCCACTGACCCAGGACCAAAGTTGTATAGCATATTAAAAAATGTAATCAATTTCTTTCCTTTCTGGAGGAAAACTCTTGGAACATCTTTACTTAGAGCATTTTGGCATCAAAGAAAGGAAACAAAACCTAACTGTGGTTATATAGTTTACACATTTCTTAAATTCCCCTGATTGCTGCTTTGGGATCATCCAGATGTTCGACGGGTTAATATTTCTGTTCAGTTTAATTACATTGAATTATTTTCTGAAATTAAAAAGGGCTGTTTATTGCATTCTCCAGTGGTGCCTCCTTTTGTTGACTGCTGGCAATTTTAAATTAAAATAATTTTTCTTCCTAATTCCCATACTTACAGAGGTTAGCATTAGTTATAGCTTCCCCTGGGCTGAACTAAAGAGCGTAACTTTTTGTAACGTGGTACAATGTGCCCAAGATGAGTTTTCTTAAAACAAGGGGGTTCCTTTTTTCAGGTCATTGTTTAAAAGATAGACTTAAATGTAGTTGCAAAGTTTTGCCTGTATTTTTAACTGATATTTTAAAAAAAATTGACATGTATTAGAAAGAGCTCCTTTCCACCTTAAGAACTTTGTCAGTCTTTAGATTTGGTAATATCTTAATCCTGGCTTGGAATGCAAACTTGATTTTCTTTCATATTTCTTCTCTTCCAGAAATAAAATGAATATGGCCCTTTTAAAATTCAGTCTCCACCTGTGTGATCAGAAAAAGGAAATTTAATTGTATTTCTAGCTTTGTAATTTCTACTTTTCATCAGTAAATTATTTTTGCTATCAAACAGAAAGCCTGTTTATTCCATGCTCTGACCTCCAGCCTCTTCCCATCTAAATAGTTTCCATTCATATGAGCTACTGGGGCCCCTTCCCTCTTCTATACTGGCTTCACTTGCATATGTAGTTCTACGTTTTCTTTTGCAACTTTTTAGGATTTACTTAGTGCTTATTGTTTCATAGACAACGTCTCCCATTCTCTTTACTCATTTATTTACTCATTTATTTATTGGATTGCTTTCATTTCCCTCCTAGGATTTATGAGCATAGACAGATGGTACAACCCTGGAAGGTGACAGGGACGTTTTGGGTGCCTTCATTTATACTCTTTACTTTTTGCAGCTCCAATTCCATTGAGTGAAAGAGACAAAGTGGTCAGAAAATCTTGGAGAGTATTGTGTCACCATAAAACAAAGTGGGATTTAAAGAAAATGATAGTGAACCAGAAAAATCAAATGCTAAAGATTGTTTTAGAAATTATGAATCACTGACATATAAAGCAATTTTAGTATAGGGTGGTATAAATTATTCTTTTAAAAAATGCATTGGAGGCTGTCATCTGAGATGCAAGGCTACTTCCCAGGATGGGGCAGTATCATGGAAAGGGTTCAGCCTCAGCGTGGCTGTATCTTTAAAGAGTTTGGAGAAAATCAGTACAGGGTGGAAACTGTTCATGCGCAAGAAACAGGGATGAAGCAAAGAGGCAGGGGAGATAAGCTTAGAAGTCCATGCCTCAAAAGTTCTTTTTCTCTGAGACACAGCAGGGAAGCTAGACAGCTTTGTGGATGATACCAGACATTTTCAGAAGGAAAAGAAGAAATGTCATGTAGGGCAATTTCCTTATGGTCAGTAAGATGGGAGAAGAGGTTACCTGCTAAGGTGGAGTTCAGGTTGGGAGGCTCCCTTTTGGACCATATTTGCCTAGAGAGAAGCCAAAGAAGACAGAGGGAGGCGTTGGTGGCATAGGTGAGCATAGCTGCCTTCCAAAGAAGACAGAGCCTGCAGTGGTGATGGCTCCACGTGGACCAGTCACTCTCTTGCTTGAAGCTTCCATCAGAATTTTTTGACTAGTAAAGAAAATTTATATATATTTTCTTGGTTGGCATTCATTTTGTAATTTGTCTTGGAACACAGTAGGAACAACAGCTTGGGACAAATAAAATGATACCTATTGGCTTCATCTGTTTTTTCCTTTTCCCTGAGCTTAGAATGGAGTTCCCAACACCATCAGTATAGGTAGTCAGGACTTCAGGGTGTCTTTTAACCTAAGTTGAACTTGACATTCATCCAAGTGCAATTTCGTACCAACTGTGAATAAGGGAGGTGGTCAAGCCCCACTCTGCCTCATTGACCCCTTTGGCATCATTCACTGTCAGTTCTTGGCATTTTCTGCACATGGTTGGCCTTCTCTTTCTACAGCACCTTTGGCTAAGGTGACTTCTTCACCTAACAAGTGCCCCCCCGTCCCTCGACATGTTTCTTATACTAACTACGTAGTTTTTATTTTTCAAGACCTTGGCTTGAACTTGATCTCCTTCATAAAACCATCTAAAGCTATAGCTACTCTCCATCTCTGTCTCTCTCAGCTCAGTGAATTCTGCTCAGTTCAAAGCTTTATTTGTTTTGTTAGGTTGACTAATTTTCTTCTGGGAAGGACCATGTCTTCTTTTTCTTTTATATCCATTTACCACTGTCTAGTACCAGGCATATATGAAGTCTTAATAAATGTTCAGGTATTAATTTGTAACTGGTGATTTATTTTCGAATGGTTGCCCCAATAATTGGTGTTTAAAATATGTACACTCCCTATGTTTGTTTTTTATTGTACTGCTACAGATGGTGGTTGCTGTAATGAAGTGTTTTTGGTGTTTCAGTTTCCCTTAATAAGCTTTATTAATTTAGTAGTTTAAAATCTTAATTTAAATTTTCTTTTATTTTCTTGGATCTGTACTTGGTTTCTTGGCCCTCAGTCGTGACTCTTGAGGATGTCATGGTAACCTGGCAGAGAATTTTTGGGTTAAGGTGTTTTTTCCTCCCATCCCTGAAGTGCTTTCCAGCTATTATGGTATAATCCATCAGTCTTTTTTTTTTCCCCTGCAGTTCATCCCTGATAATAAAATTATGCCTTCTATGCTCTGGATTTTTACTATTCCTTTTCATATAGGCAGTATAAAATTACAATATGTTTGATACATTCAGCATTAGGAAATGCACTGGTCATGTTACATGTAATACCTTTTACTTTTTAAACTTAACTCATTAATTATTAGTAATGCCATAGATGCTATAATTTGGTTATTATTGAGAAGTGAGAATTTTCATGTTCATTTAAGCCAAGGAGCTTTTTATGGGATGAAAAAATACAAAGGAAACATTGAAGCTGAATAATAAATTCATCACAAAATAATTACAAAATGTATTTACTGTTTATTACAAAATAAATAAATCACCTGTATTTATCACTTATGTCTACTTTTCCGTGGAAGACTGAGGACCCAAAAATGTAAAATGTACAATGAAAATCTTAAGTGGAGATGCTGTTTATCATTAACTGAGAACATTCCTTATATGTAGAATCTAAAAAGACACAAATGAACTTAGTTACAAAACAGAAACAGGCTCACAGACATAGAAAACAAACTTACGGTTACCAGTGGGGAGAGGGGGAGCTGGAGGGATAAATTGGGAGCTTGGGCTTTATATATGCACATTACTACATATAAAATAGATAAACCACAAGGTCCTACAGTACAGCACAGGGAACTGTATTCAATACCTTGTAAAAGCTTATAATGAAAAAGACTATGAAAAGGAATACCTATGTGTGTGTCTAACTGAGTCACTGTGTTGTACACAGCAAATTAACACAACATTGTAAATCAACTATACTCAATTAAAAATACATAAGTGCCTAAATAATTTTCCTATAGGTCACCATTAGGTATTTATTTAGGAAGCCATTCTTTGTCTTAAAATAATACATAGGAACCTCCTAAATTTTAAATAGTTGTGCTAATTGTTTTTTAAGGATAAAAAATCCTATAGTTCATTAAAATCCTGATGTACCTTCATAATAGCAGTAAATGGGAGTCATGAATATTAGCTGATATGGTTAAAATAAGGACATCTTCATAGATAGCCAAGAAAAGTACAGATAACCCTTCACTAAAAAGTCCTAAAATTAATTTATGCCCATGTTTACTAAGTCACTAACCTCAGTTTTGTAAACCATAGAAATCACAATTCTCAGATCCTTGTATCAGAAGAACAAGAATGTTTTTGAAAGCTTGTAATCTGTATTTTGATTGAGGATCATAAAGTGGATTTTGATTTGCAGATAGTGACTACTATATATAAAATAGATAAATTTATACTGTCTAGCACAGAGAACTATATTCAATATCTTGTAGTACCCTATGGTGAAAAAGAATATGAAAACGAATATATGTATATTCACGTATGACTGAAGCATGGCACTGTGCACCAGAAATTGACGCAACATTGTAAACTGACTATACCTCAATTAAAAACAAAAAAAGTGGATTTTGAAAGGCTTTATTTAGACTACTTGTGTATTTTTTATGTTAATAAAACCGAGTGGTTTTTAATGTGTTAAAAAAACAAAATAGATAAATTTATTACAAAGCTATACGGGGCATAAAATACATATTTTTGTGTCATTTTAGGACTCAAACATTTTAAGTCCTGTGCAAGATGGGACAAAGAAACCTCAGATTGACAGCAACAAGAGCAACAACTACTGGATTGTCAAGGAGGTCAGCAGATGTGAAGTTCTTTTCATATGGATTTACATTTGAATGGCAAAGGATTTTTGCTTTTTTATTACATTAAATATTACGTGTGTTATATTTAATGCTTTTCTTCTTTCGGAAGATTTTGATCAGGCTAAGTAAACTCTGTGTACAGAACAAAAAGTGCCGAAATCAACACCAGCGATTACTGAAGAACATGGGAGCCCATTCAGTGGTGTTGGACCTTCTACAGATACCTTATGAAAAGGTGAGCTCTTAGGTTACTTTCTCCCTTTAGTTTTTAATTTTGATACAATTTCAATATAGGGAAGTTAGGAAGAAATTTTTTTTCCTGGACTATTTGCAAGTAAATTGCCAACCTGATGCCCACCACCTCTGAGCCCTTTAGCTGATATCCCCTACAAACATAAGCACTTAACAACCTTCCAGATCAGGTAAGAGCATGACCCTCTACTGCCACCTGATCCTTGCACTCCATTCACATTTCTCCCATCGTCCCAGTCGGGTCCTGTCTGACCAGTGATCCACGTTGGAAACAGTTGTCATTGAGTGTCATGTCCGTTTAAATCTCTTCATGCTGGAACTCTCATGACATTGATGCTTTTGAAGTGTGGAAGGTCCAGCGAAGGGAGCAGAACTGGCGGCCAAGGAGAGAGGAAGAGGGGACAGAGAAGGTGTGAGGATGGAGGCAAGGGAGACAGAGGCTGCTTTATAGGGAGACACGAAATGGTAGTGGATGGGCAGGAAGGTGGGGACAATGAGAGGTGGGCTGTCAAACAAAGAGGGGGAAGAAAGAGTGGAGCAGAACAGAGAATAGAAGGAGGATAAAGAGAAGGGGAGAGACATCTAGAAAGTGGGGAGGGTGGACGGAGACCGGGTAACCAGGAAAGGTGTTGAAACAGAAAGGGGAGCATAAAACAGTGGCAGAGAAGAGCAATGTGCATTTGGGAAAATTCTTGGATAACATTTTTGCTCTGGTGTGTTTCTCTGTATCACACGCTGCTCTTGAACTTCCAGAATGATGAAAAGATGAATGAAGTCATGAATCTGGCCCATACCTTCCTGCAGAATTTCTGTCGGGGAAATCCACAGAATCAGGTTCTCCTTCATAAACATCTGAATTTGTTCCTAACTCCTGGAGTAAGTATTTTAGTGGCTTCTAATAGTTATAGGAAAGTGTCCATCAAATTTGTTTTAGCAGCATTAATGGATAGAATTTTATTCATCTTCCTCACCTCATTTTTTTTTCTTATAGGGGTTTTCTTCCTAAAAGTGAATATCTTTTATTTCCATTAAGGAAACATTTAAAGAAACTTGAAAAATTACACTAATTTTGCCTGCAAACGACAACTTCATTTATATGTATATATAGTTTAACGTCAGGAAAAAGAGATGGTAGAACAGAGACTAATTCTGCAATGACACGAGCAAGATAAATATGAGTGACTCAAAGGTAGACTTAACTCTGCTCTGTAAAACGTGTCAGTGGATACTGAGGAGAAGCTAACGTTGAATAATACATAATTAAATTAATCTCAAGAACACTGTTGCCAACATGCTGACCTTTATGATAATAAATCTCTCTTTTCCAGCTAGGTTCCTTTGTGAGCTCAGTTTTCTTTTAGTGCTGAATGATCTTGCTTTTCGTAGAAGACTTGCACAGAAAACCCACTACAACTTCTGCGTAAAATATAAAACCGATCACAAACAGGGCAATTGGTCTAAGTCCTGTAGACTAGAAAGTTGATCTTGTCGGAGTTACAAGGGCACATTCCTCTCTGTTTATTAGCTCCTTGAAGCAGAAACCATGCGGCACATCTTCATGAACAATTACCATCTGTGCAATGAAATCAGCGAGAGGGTGGTCCAGCACTTCGTGCACTGCATCGAGACACACGGCCGCCACGTGGAGTACCTGAGGTTTCTGCAGACGATTGTCAAAGCAGATGGCAAATACGTGAAGAAGTGCCAGGATATGGTAATGACCGAGGTACGTTCTCACTTTGCATTTTATCAGCTTCACGTAAGCAATATGCTCAAATATGTTTTCTGTTAACAGACTGAAAAAAATTCCCCAGCGACATAGGTTTGGAAAATAATTTAATTACTACTTAGGCACAAATATATTTTACTTAGAACTAGTGAAGTAGCATAAGTTGATTTTTATAATTTTCTAAGAGCTTGTTTTTCTTTTTGATTCTTAATGAATTGATGTGTTTTAAATAATGGGCAAAATCCTGTGAAATGTTATAGATTATTCAGAATGAATAATTATTCAGAATGAAAGTGATAAAATTTTATATTTTTAATACATTTTCAATGTATAACAAAAATGGATTAAACTCTGCTTTTCCAGTGTCTTTATTACTCTGTTCCTGGAACATAGACTGGGTGTTCTTTGCTGCTGTTTGCAGAGGGCTTTGAAAGGAGTTGAACTAATTAATAGAAATTATCCATCAGTGATTTATTAATTGTGGAAACTTAGCTATTTAGAGTAAGTTAAAAAATTTTAAAAATAGACAAAGTACTTCATTTATTTTGCCCTTTTCATTTTGATGTTTGGCACTGAGCGAGATTTAAACAATGAATAAATTACTCACTAGGAACCAAGTGATTCTTTGGAGAACTGACAGCAGTTTGAGCCCATTTGGGTAAATCGTTGCTCTGTGACCGAAATGGTTCGCTAAAGGGCTGTATGGATTAAGGCAGCCCTCAGCCATGGCTACAAACAGTTATGCAGTAGATTATATTGATTTGGGGCAATTTTCATAATTAACTACCTTAAATTTGGGAATGAGAGTAATTTCCCTATTGATACATGTGAGTCCCTTCTGCCCCATAGAAATCTTAAAATAAATTCAGCTTAAAGCCTTGAAATTTTAATGTAAATTATTGTTACTAAACCTTTAAGGGACATTTTGAACTTGTAAAATTTACCTCTTATCTGTGTTTACATTCACATTAGTTCTTCATTACCTAGAAATGTGGGAGCTAATTTGATTTTGTATTATTATCATCAAAGAATGAATTAAAATGGGAAAGCAGTGAATAGTTAAGCCAGTCCTATGGCATTTATTAGGTGAAGTGTTTCTATATGGAAAGAAGTATGTATAATATTTTATTAATATATAATACATTTTTTTGGCACATGCATTCTCTTTCAAGAAAACATTCCGTGTAAGCCAATTAATTGGCTTATCAACTTAAATATGTTATCAGTTCAAATAAAATAGAGAAAAAATTATGGAAGCTGTGTTACCCACCAGAATATTTCATGCTGGGGTTAGAAAATTGGTCCTGTAATAGACAATAGGAATTGAGTCCCGTGCAGGTCCCAGCCTGCTTGTGGTTCAGGGTCACCATCTGCCTTATAAAGCAAAGGAGAAGGTTTGTCCTCTGGGAAGATGAAAGTTATCTTCTCCTCTGAAAAAGCCTCCTACGTAGTTGGCCTTGGCATCCTCCAGGAGTAGGAGGGCAGGGATTGAGGCCTCATGAGTGTGGGTTTTCTGTTGCGGTAGAGAGAGAAGACAGGGCTTGTCACCAGAAAGTCTGGAATGGGAATGTAATTACCTCCAGAACTCGTCACTTTTAAGTCAGCCCGGGCTTCATGACACTCTTGGAAGTGAATTCTTTAATAAAATAATAGTGCAGTTTCCAAAAAAAAAAATAGACAATAAGACATTATGGAGATTGAGCAATAAAATTACCACCTACTGGAATTTCCACTAAAATTATATAAATAAAACAAGAAGGAAAATTTATGTCCTGAAAGTCTCTGCTTACTCATTTCTTTCTTTCTCTCTTTGAAAGTCATCTTTTTCTCTTTATTCTCCCATCTCTCTTTTACCTGCATTCTCTGCCAGTACGCATAGTGCACGGAGTCTCCAAATTCTTGTAGGGTTGCATTTGGATCAAAGTACTTGCTTATTTATTCTGTCACTGTGAAAGGGGCTGGGGATATTTTATTCTATAGTAAAATTAGACTTAGGAGATTTCTGATGCTTTGGCAAGGGAGTCTTCCATTTGAAGTAGAAGGATGTAACTTTATAGGAGTATTTTGCAAGTTTGATTTCAGTGGATAATTCGCTGAACAGTTTACTGTCGTCTGTGTCATTTATTCTTGTCCCCATCCACCTCTTCCATATCTGCCCGGCTGGTTTTGACAGCGTTCATAACTAATCACTTGACCCATGGCTAGAGTCTTTTTACCACCCTGCCTAAGTATAGTTCTGCTTTTGCAATGTTATCTATGTTTTTACAAAGAGATGCGTGTGTGTCCAGATAGACCGAGCCTTTGGAAGCAACTGTAAGGATGGACATTTGGACGCTATGTAGACTCTCTTGTTATCATTTCAGTTGATAAATGGGGGTGAAGATGTGCTGATATTTTACAATGATAGAGCATCATTTCCCATCCTTCTCCATATGATGTGTTCAGAGAGAGACCGAGGGGACGAGAGTGGCCCCTTAGCCTACCACATCACCCTTGTGGAGTTGCTGGCAGCATGCACAGAGGGGAAAAACGTCTACACTGAAATCAAGTGCAATTCCCTTCTGCCCCTGGACGACATAGTGAGGGTGGTGACCCACGATGACTGCATCCCTGAGGTAAGCCTGGCAAAAGCTCAGCAGCTACGGATTCATTATTAATTTTTAAAGTGCGTAGGTGCCAGAAGTTCTTCTACTATGATTTATGAGATAATATGTTTAGTCTAGGGATTGTACTTAGCTACATAATTAGGAAATTTTGAAAGAGCGTAAGAAGTTTACTTTTTGCTCTACAACAAACAATGAAAGACAAGAAACCTTTTAAAAGTACAACCACTGTTGGTTTGCTAGAAGCTACTATGGGAATTTCCAGGTATGGCATTGTGATCGAACTGAAAAATTGACTTGTAACCTCTAGTATGTGCTTGAGCATAAAACAGATGCTTCGTAAATAATTTGTAAACATTAACAGGAGAGGCTAGGACAGGGCTGAAGAATCAGGATTAGATTCTCTAGGTCTACCTTTGCTTTATGGAATCGATGCGTTCTTGGAAACGTGGACACATGTTTTGCTTTATTCACACATCATCTTACACCCTCCATCCTAGTTTGGCATGACAGTAGGGGAAAACCTCATTAGAAACTAGCTTGTCTGCCAACAGGATTCATGAGGCTTCCAGGAATGTACATTGCAATCATTTCTTTCTTTTCAAGTGTTGTGGTGTATTGTTGCAAAGTTCACAAACGTGTGATACACTGACTATGATATAAATCCAAACATTTAAAATCATAGTAACTTAAAAAGGTGTCAGGTTAGGTTAACTTCCCTACTTCCAAATAGTCCTATGTAGTGATGGACTTGCAAGTATGTTTTTGTAAAATGTTGTGGAATTACTGACACCGCATGCCGTAGGCACTCCTTGATTGGTTTGAAATAAAATGGCAAAGGAAGAAAGTGTAGTGTAGGAATTAAATCAGTGCGTTCTGTCTACATTTGAGGTACTGATTCTGGTCATATTGTTCTCTCTGACACACCCCTCTGGTGTCTTATATTCACCTACTTAACCCCCTTCCTCCTTCGGATCTTGATTCAAGTATTACTACTTTAAGGGAGACTTCCCTGGGCTCCCATAGTCAAGTCTATGAGTCTATAATTTGAAATTTGACATTTGAATTTTATTAGTTAACCAATGTCCACAGCCTTCTCATTCTTTCCCAGGACTATAAGCTCAATGAGAGTTAACACCTGGATCTGTTTGTATTCACCACTATGTTGTCTGAACCTGAGCCTTTATTTTATTCTATTTTTTAACATTTTTTATTGATTTATAATCATTTTACAATGTTGTGTCAAATTCCAGTGTAGAGCACAATTTTTCAGTGATACATGAACATATATATATTCATTGTCACATTTTTTTCTCTGTGAGCTACCATAAGATCTTGTATATATTTTCCTGTGCTATGCAGTCTAATCTTATTTAGCTATTCTACAATTTTGAAATCCCAGTCTATCTCTTCCCACCCCTGCTTTTAATAAATGTGTTTTGAGTGAATGAACAAATGGAATTAAGAAATGAGTCAGAATCTTGGATCCATTACTTCCTAGCTGTGAGACTGATTCCAACAGATTACTTAACCATTCTCATCTTCAATGTATGCAATTTTGAACTGAAATAATTATGATATGCACCTGATAGGATTGTTGGAAGATTAAATTAAGATATTACATACAAAATGCTGAAGGTGTTTGGCATGTAGCAAACAATGAATGGATTTTAACTGCTGTGAGGATGATTATGGTAGCGCACTGAGTGGCTCTGATGGCTCCTTACCCTGTGGTCAGTCCCTGGCACTGACATCTTGTCACTGGAGATTTGTCTTAGACCTCAGTCAAGTAGAGAGAGGTTCTAAGGGCATGAAAGCTGGCCCTTTATTCCTTATGGTTCTAACTTGGATTCTATGAATCTCCTGAAATTGTTTACATGATTTTTTATGTATGTGCATTTTTCTGGAGAGATTTATAGTGTTTATTACATTTTCATAAAGTGGGGGAAGAAAAGAAGAGAAAAGGAAAGAAGAGGAAAGAAAAGGAAAAACAAAAACTTTTGCCCTGTGCACTTTAGAAATGGTACATGTTGGGGAGACTAATCCAGTCTTCTGTGAGGAATTTTGCTAAGTCTGGAAAGGAACTTTACGACATCTTAAAATAGTATAATTTTTGTGGCAAACTGTGAGCCTGACTCTTCTCAGAAACAGTAATTTAAATGTTTTTGAATGGCAAAAAAGTGTTATTTAGTCAACATATTGAAGCATTGTATTAGAACCTTCTTGGTTGCAAGTGATGGAAACCTAACTTAAACTAATTTAAATTAAAAAGGGAAATTTTATTGGCTCCTATATTTGGAAATATGAAAGATAGTTGTTCAGATGGATCAAGAGATTCAAACAACGTCAGAGTTCCTTCTGTCTCTTATTCCCTTTTCCTTTGTGATTTTGCCTCGTTTTCTTCATCTGAGCATAATTTTTCTCCACACACCTGGAGAGGATGGTTCTCGGAGTTCAGATTTAGTTTGGTCCATTTTGGCCAAGGGGGCGGAGGGATAGAGAAAGAATATGAATGAATGAATGAATGAATGAATGAATGAATGAATGAATGACAGAGGCAGAGAATGGGAGGGGAGAAGAGAGGGAAAGTGTGACTCCTAGTGTCTCAAATATGTGAGACTTGGTTTACATGAAGTGTTTATTCTCACACCAATCACTGGGCCCACGGGAATGGAATCCTAGGTCATGCGTTTACCTTGGGTCAGGGGGAAGAGTATTTTAGTAAAAAGAAAGGAGATGGGAATGCTTTCTGGTTGGACACAAAACATACTATAGTTTACTCTAGGAAATAACACAATTTTATTTAACTGTTCGTCATAGATACTTGAAAATGAACAACAAAGAAAACTCTCTCTCTTTTATGTTTGAAACTTGCACAGGTTAAAATTGCTTACGTGAATTTTGTGAATCACTGTTACGTTGACACTGAAGTGGAAATGAAAGAAATCTATACAAGTAACCACATTTGGAAATTATTTGAGAACTTCTTGGTGGACATGGCAAGGGTAAGTTGCACTGTGAGCATTAAACACTACTTCATGCTGAGTAAGGTTGTTAATACATATTTTGACTAAACAGTGTCAAGGATCTGAATGGAAACTTAGAGTTAAACCCACTGTGTTTGGGCATAATCTGTCACATTCACAAAGTTGTGATTGAATTTCACAGGAGTGTGAGTGAGACTTGATGAGCTAATATACCCAGGGTACCCAGTACAGTGTATATGGCAGCAAGGTGTTCATTTTCACTTTTACAATTGGCTGCACTGATCAGTTAGTAAATGGAGTTTTAGTGGCCTTTTTACGTTGGTTAGAGACAGTATTTGGCAGAGGTCAGTTTGTATTCAGCCTCTTATCATGAATGCAGTTACAAACCATAGATGGTAGAGAGCTCACGAGGTCTTGGCTACTGCTTTAGGGCAAATAGGTGGCTGACCAGACCACGCAGGACCTAGCATTGCCCACTGTTGCCTGTTTCAAGTCTTTTTTGGAAGTGTGCTCCACTGAACTTTTTGGTGTTCTTACTCCAGCTAATTCAAAATACAGTCAGAATATATGTAGTCATTCAAAATATAGTCTGCTTTTTCCTTTGAGTTCATTTTCTCCTGTTGGGTGTTTTGGGGGCTGGAGAGGACACGTGGATGTGGTTGGCATTTTCTAGTGTACGTTTTTGCTCCGTTAATACTGAGTAAATGAATGAATGAACGAAGAAAGGAAGGAAGGAGGATTTGATAGGTGGCATTTCATTTTAGTTTATGTATCTTAGCTCCCTCTTTTTGCATGCTGAATTATCATGATGTCCAGGGTCTATTATTTTAGGGATTTTGGGGATCCGTTCTAGCTTTCCCTTTAAGGTTATGGGATGTAATGTTCAAATAAGGGTTTCGCTAATAGAAGATAGTGTGTAGCTGACTCCTTGGACCTGTGATGACTTAACGGTGGCCTGTCCCGGTCCCTGGGCTCCCGGCATTGCTGAGTGCTGGTCGTTTACAAGGGCCTCATTGAGGCGTGCTGGAGAAGAGGGGTTAATGAAATCCATATGGATGGATGCTGACTGTCAGCCATTAGCTCACTGCCTCCCCACAGTTCTTTCTGGAAGGAGGGAAGACAAAGGGGACATAAAACATCGACTGCAGGCCCAGGCTTCCGAGGGCAATCTTGGGGAATAGAGTCAATCACGTATTCTAGTCCAGGAACTTTTGTCTTTAGTCAAGGCTTGCAGCTGGAATGCGTGCGTTTCACCTTGGGGGTCGCGTGGATTGAGCCAGCCGGGCTGTGTTCACACCCGTGTGGAGTAAGGCCGTCTCTGTTTCACTTCCCTTCTGTAGAACCTAAAAGCCACTCGTTACCTCTCTCAGGTAAACCTGCCCGTGTGCAGAAATCCCCCTGTTCCCACAGCACTCACATACGGCTCGTATTTACCCCCGTGACCTAGCGGAAGCCCTGTGAGAGCCTGGCCACACTGTCCCAGAGATCTTGGAGTAAAGGACAGTTTATATGCCGAAGGCTGAGCTGTCAAACTGCACGTGCAGGAAGATATGAAAGAGATTAACGACCTATTTGCAGCACTGCCCAGTGCTACGGGCTAAAGATAGGCTTGGAAAGACCAAGGTCACATTCTAGGCAGCGTAAGCTGCAAAGCTCGAAGGATTTTTATTTTTAAACCAAAGAAAGCTGATGTTAACTGCCATGGATTGTGCTGCCTTGAAAACAGTCTTTCTGTCGATGTTTTTGTTCGTAAGGCTAAGGGGTTCTTTTTTTTTAAGTATTCATGTAGGAAGCATTTTAATTTTAACTATTTTGGTTAAGTAGACGTCAGTTTTATTTGTTCGTATACAAAACCTCCAGGGGAATCTCAAGATCTTCTCCGTCCCTTCAGTCGTTATGTCTCATCACAGCAGCTTAGCTGTACTGCAGAAAGCGTCTGTTTCTTTCCTTCTGGTTTCCCTCTGATTTATATTTTAAAGCCACTCTCTTCTCCCGTCACCAGGAACGACAGGGAATCACCCTTCCTCCTTCAGGGAAGGGACAAGAAATCCGACTTCTCATATCTGGGGTTTGTCTTTCTCCCCTTGAAGGAAGATTAAGGAGCTACCACACACTTTCAAATTCAAATACTAAAAATATGGTTAAATAAGAAGAAGGTGGCTTGTTAGGCAAATTTCTGGTTCAGTAGAGCCGTGGTCTCAAACTTCAGTGAGCAGTGGGATCGCCTGCAGGGTTTGTTACGACACAGATTGCTGGGCCCCACCCCCGTAGTTTCTGATTCAGGAGATGTGAGACTTTGCATTTTTAACACACTTTTGGGTGATGCTAAAGCTGCTGGTCCAGGGACCACACTTGGAGAACCACTGCAGTAGGTCAAGGTAGTTAAGGGTAGGCACTTTAAAGGCATTATTAGCCAGACCAGAGTTCAAGTTAAGATTCTGCCTCTTACTCATTCAGCTCTCTTGGGCAAGGTAATTATTCCTCTGAGTTTCCTTATTTGTAAAATGAATCCAATGCTAATACATTCCTCAGAGAGTTACTGGGAGGAGTCAGTGAGATAACGTGTACATGGCTCTTAGCACACGCTCGACGCTTAGTGAGAGGTTGGTACCATTATCCATTTTATCCATCTCATGGTAACAACACTGGTATTAGCACAAGGTTATATATAGCCTTTAAAGCGATTTGTTTTCAAGCAGCTTCCCCAAGACCTATACCAAATACTAATGTTGAGGATACTGTAAAGGAAAACCATCCCACACAGTGAGAGCCAGAAACCCTGTCTGTGAAGCTGGACACACACATTAGTGATGTGATGTAGAGATGGACTAAATTCAGATCTTACAACAAAGTTACAAAATCCTGGGACAACTGATTTATATCAGTATGAAATAGTGGAGGTAATCTGGAGGAAATGTATTTCGTAAATTGAACCTAAAGAATCATGGGACCTGAGGGTTGGAAGAGACTGGCAGTCCTACAGTTCACAGCTTTCAGCTCCTGCCTGTGGATTTCCATTAACAATGGTCTCACTTTTTTTTCTTTTGAAGACAAGATTTCATTATTGCGCAATTTTAATTGTTAAAAGCCAAATTGAGACAAATTTTTAATGTCCTTTTTTATTGATGTGTAGTCGGCTTACAATGTTGTGTCAGTTTCTGGTGTACAACATAATGTTTCAGTCATATATATACATACATATTCCTTTTCATATTCTTTTTCATTATAGGCTACTATGAGATACTGAATAAAATTCTGTGTTCTATACAGTATAAATGTATGGTTTATCTGTTTTATGTATAGTAGTTAGTATTTGCAAATCTCAAACTGCTAATTTATCCCTTCCAACTTTAACCAAAATTTTATGTGCTATGAGTCTTAGCTATTTCTTCCTTCTGCAGTGACCTAGAATGATTCAGTTCAGGAAAGATGTGGGTGTTTACTCGTCTCCTTGTTAGTGATCTGCTTTGAGACGATAAAATTACGCAATTTAAAGGAACGTAAGATCATCTAGGTCAACCTCATAATTGTGCTCCCGAGTTCCGGAGAGATTAATTTGCCAGCAGAAGGTGACTCAGCCAGGTAGTAACAGAGCTGGCAGGGCTGGGCAGCCTAGTCCCGTGCTTGTCCCACAGCAGCTTCTCAAATATGTCATGACAGCCCTCGTGTCTTCCATTATTGTCCCCATGACTCTCAGTGGTTCCTCCTCTGATGAGGGTTTCTGGGCTCCTTGTTCTCAGTACACTTTTGAATTCTCTCTAATTCATCAGTGTTTGTAAAGCATGGCGTTCAGGATGGAACCCAGTGCTGAAGGCAGGGTCCAGCCAGCACAGGGTTTGGAGAGCCATCCTATTTAAAAGGCAAATGAAACATTAACAAGGAGCGGCACTCACACCACCTTTCACCTTTCTCCTCCTGTTTCTGTGGACTCAGCACCACCAGGTTCTTTTTGTTTGCTCTTGGTAAAGCTCTCTAAGGAGTCACCTTAATTAGCATCTTTCATTTTCCTGTTTGTGCCCCAGTGTCTTTTGTTTTGTGAAGAGCCATGTAAGAAAATCTTTCTGAAGGATCGTTCTTGATAAACGGATGCTAGATTGTTTCACATCCTTTCTGACAGAGACGCATCTGTGTCCCGTCACTACAGCGGAGTTAGGCAGCAGCAAAGCTGTGAGACCCATGAGTTGTCTTTTAGAGCATTTAAAATAGCGACAGCCCACTGTGATCTCTGTGCCGGTGCAACTAAAATTGGTGTTTGTAGGGCAGAAATGCTTTTCTTTGCCTTCATAACTGACTTGTTGCAAAGTCAGGGGATTTGAGACATTACTTGAAAGTGTGTGAAGCGGGGTGGGCTGTGGTCCGTGTCAGCCTCAGACAGTATTTTTCTGAAGATGTTCCCGATTTTGCTATCAATTTCAAGATTCTGTAACGGCCAACAGCCCTCTAAGTGATGTGTTGGCGGAGTGAAATTAGACCAAAGAATAACTTACAAATTAGACCCAGGATTGTCATGTCACTGTCCCATCAATCACTGCTTAACAAGACAAGTCAGGGTATTTCATTGCCAAATAGGTGACCTGAGCTTTCTCTCTCCTCGCCTAGCCTACCACACAGGCAGGAAGTAGGAATAAAGATAAAATTTATATATGCTTTGAAACACGCATTCCAGGTTCTTTAATTTGATAGGATTGAATAGGTTTTCTTTGCTTGATGATTCAATTCTATACTTTGCTTTCTTCAGTTGAACGAGCCATTGAAAAGTCTCATCCTGAAGCTTTCTTTTCACATGGCCTTGTTACCTAGCATTGCAGGGAAGTGAAGGGTATAAAGCACTGTAACTGTACACCTTATTTTGTGTGTAGCACTCTGCCCTCCATTGTAATTCTGCTTTTCTCCTCCACTTTTAAGCTGAATTGTAATGGTGGTGCCCACGTGGCTTGGACACTTGTTTGGCTCTTCCCAGTGGTGATTGGCTGGTCCCTGCCCTGCATCACACTGCCTGCTCTTCAAACCATTGGCAG